TTTTTTTTTTCTTTTATAACTTTGTTTTATTTCTTTCTTTTTTCTTTTCGTTTTCCCCCCTTTTCAATACACATTGGTGTTACTGTTGTACATCATCTTTTATGCTGCGGCGGCCGTTGCGGTATCGGCACGACACTTCACTGCGCGTGTGTGTTCAACACAGCGTGGCGGTTGTCTTGCGGGAGAAGAAAAAGAGGCTGAAAATGAAATAATGAAAGCAGAATGGAAGAATAAAACTACATAAATATATATATATATAATTTTTTTTTTTTAATCCTTTTCTTTTGTTTTTTTTTTTTCAGGTTTGTCGTTTTTTGTTTTTTTTTTCTCTTTTTCTTTTCTCTTTTCTCTTTTTTCTTTTATCTTTTTTTTTCGTTTGAAAAATGGGGAAATGGCGGTAGCGATGGTGGTGGTGGTAAAGAGTCTGCTGTTGCCGCGCCAAAAAAAAAAAAAAAAAAAATCTTTTTTTTGACTTTTTTCTGTCTTCGCATTTTGATTTTTATTTATCTTTTACATCTCTTTTTCTCTTTCTCTGTTCTCAATATGGAGTTTTTCTCAGATATGCTTCTGTTTCTGAGAGAGAGAGAGTTGAAGTGTGCGGAGTGAGGTGAACGCCAATGAAGAGTAAAAACAAAACAAAAAAACAAAAAAGAGAAAAATCAATTCGAAAGGAGAACGTTAATGAAGAGGAGTGGAGAAAGGGGAGAGTATGGTTTTAAGTGTATATTTATTTACACTAAAACTTATGCATTTATCCATGCAACTGTTTATCAGCATGTGTAGATATCTTGCTCATTATTTTCAACCCGTTCTTCTCCTCTCTGACTTTCTTCTTTCTGGGCGTGTTTGGGTTTAACACTTATTTTACCAATACCATTCATTTTTTTTTTTCTAATTATTATTATTATTATTATTATTATTATTATTATTATTATTATTATTTATAATAACTTCTTTTTATTATGAACCTGGTGATTTACATGTGTACTTCTTTTTTTCTGTGTATGTGTGTGTATGTTTGTTTTCTATTAATACGTCTGACAGGCTGTTTACACGCAAGATAATGGAACCAACAAAACATTAATAGGCGAGAGTACCCGTACTGGTAATGCCTGGTAGAAATAACATACTCCTTACTCTCATCTGACAATGGAAACAAACACACACAAACACACGCGAAGTACCATAAACTACCGAGAAGCAATTTCACACAAAACGAACGCGAACTTGAATAAAAAAAAGAAAGTGAATAAAATATTTATTGATTACGCATCACCTACTTTCTTTTTAAACCAAAAAAATGAGTTTGTTACTCTGATCGTTCGTATTTATGCGCACGTGGTACATGTCATTGTCGCGTATAGATATAGTATGTTAGAATCCTGACAGCTTGAAATAAGAGAAGACGGATCAAAAGAAAAAGAAAAAAAAAAAAGCTCTCGTCGGATATGACTCAAAGGGAGAAGAATGAGGAGAAAAAAAAAAAAAAAGAAAAAAAAGAACGATAAAAGAAACAAAAAAAAAAAAAAAACAACAACATAACCAGCCTCATTCTTCCTTCAAAAAAGAAACAAAAAACGTTTTTCGTGGTGATAGTGAAAGTAATAGCAGTGAAGGAAGTGGGAAAATAACAGGATTAACACTGTTAGTATGTCAAGAATGCGGAAACACCATTATTCAATGAAAATTCGCGCTATGAGATTGGGTAAAGATAGGGGAAAAAGGAAGGTTAAGGGAAGGGCTTTCTTTATTTGGGAAGATACTGTTGAAAAGGAAAAGGGATCAGGGAAACAATATATTTAAAAAAAAAAGAATGTTTTTTTTTTTTGTTTTCTTCTTTGTTTTCTCAACTGTAAAGAAAGAATGAACAAAAGAAAAGAAAGAAAACGTGTGTGGTGGTAATGGTGAAAATTCTCCGAAAGAAAACGATTTAGGTTTATTCATAACATTTTCACCCATATATATATATATATATATATATATATATATATATATATATAAGGTGTTCTTGTTGTGGTTCTATATATATATATATATATCCTTTTTCGTTATCTAATTTGGTGAATAAGTTGCATGAAAGCAAAGTAGGAAAAGGTGTAACAGGGTTATTATCCCTTTTTTTTCGTTCTTATTTTTCCAGTTTTTCTTTCTTTAAATCTAACATATATATACATATATTATATGTATTCATCTTGTGTTATGGAGAAGAAAAAGAAATAAACGGAAAAAAGAAGCAAATGTTGCTTAAGGGACGAATGGACTAAAGGGAATCGAGAAATCGTCTTTAACTCAAAGACCCTACAAGTCTCCCTTGTGGAAAAATGTGGTAGAAGTTAAGTGATACTCAAGAATTGTTCAAATAAAGAAAAAGAATATATTATATGATCTCTGTATGCTTTTTTTCTTCTGTTTTGTGTAAATTGATTTTTGTTTTCGTTCATTATTATGTTATTGTTTTTTTTTTTTTTTTTCTTTTTTTCGTAATCTTGTTTACTTAAATGACGTTTCCAATACAGGCGCTCTAGTTCGCTCCTTTCACAGCAGTAGTAGCAACCACCACCACAACAACAATAATAATAATAATAATAATAATCCGCAGATGCCACCGCCACGTCCAGAGGCGGAGAACCCGCCTGATGTCTTCTACAACGAGACGGGGGCCGCACGGTACACGAGCAGTACACGTGTGCAGTTGGTGCAGCGGGCGATGACGCTGCGGGCACTTGAGTTGATTGACATTCCCGCCGGCCGTCCGGCGCTGCTGCTCGATGTTGGCTGCGGCAGCGGTCTCAGTGGGGAGGTGCTGCGCGAGGCGGGGCACACGTGGTTTGGCGTCGATATTAGCAACGACATGCTCTTGCTCGCCAAGGCGTCGGAGCGGGAGGATGCGGCACGTGATGATGATAATAATAATGATGAGCAGAATACAGAGAAGGGAAAGAAGCAGGAGGATCTACGCAACGTGAAGTGGGGTCTCATTACACCGAGTGATGAGGAGGAAGAGAGTGATGAGGAGGAGGAGGATGAAGAGGATGATGAGATGCGAGTGGCTGCGGGTCCGTCGATGGTGGAGGTGCTGCGGGGGGACATGGGCCAAGGCCTGCCGTTCCGCCCGGGCTCCTTCGACGGCGCCGTCTCCATCTCCGCCCTGCAGTGGCTCTGCCAGAGTGACTCCCGCGGACACGTCCCGCAGCGCCGGCTACGGGCTCTCTTTCAATGTCTCTACAACGCACTCCGCCGCGGGGCAAAGGCCGCCCTGCAGTTCTACCCAAGTCACGTGGATCAAGTACACATGATCACACGCGCCGCCATGCTTTGCGGTTTCACGGGTGGTGTTGTTGTGGACTTTCCGCACAGTACAAAGGCGAAGAAACATTATCTGGTGGTGCAAGCAGGCAAAGTTGCGGGTGGTTTTCTCCCACCACCACCCCTTGCCATAAATAACAGCGATGATGAGGAAGAGGAGGATGAGGAAATGGATGGCGAGATCAGCAGTAATGATAATGATGATGAGGCAAACATCCAAACAAGGGCTCGCGTGGGTGGACGAGTACAACAAAAACGATCACGATCACACACTGGTGGATCAGAGTGCAAAAGACGCCGCAAGGACAACCGACCGGTTACTGGCTCAAGGGATTGGGTCCTCCTCAAGAAGGAAGAGCGACGTAAGTTTGGCCTCAAGACAACTGCTGATTCCAAATACACCATGCGCAAACGTCGTCCACGCTTTTAGAAGCGAAAGGAAGAGAAAAGAAAATGAAGAAGGAAAACAAAAAGGCAGAGAAGGAAGGAAAAAAAAGGAGAAAAGCGAACAACAAAAAAAAAAAAAGAAATCATACACAAATTTCTGTGGATCTCTTTTTTTTTTTTTCATTGTTGTTGTTGGTGTTTTCTATGATTCATTATCTTTTATTTCCTTGCGGTGTGCTTTTTTCCTCATCACTTTTCTTGATGAAAATCTTTAAACGAAAAAAAAAGTGTAATTTTTGAGTGTAAGAAAAGAGAAACTCCTGATGGAAATAAATAGAAAATAACAACTGAGAGCTTTGTATATATGTCTCTATTAAGATCACTAAATGGTTCTCTCTTATACTTCTTATTGTTTCTTTTTCTTTAATTTCTCTGTGATGTGTGTGTGTGTGTGTGTGTGTGTGTGTGTGTGTCTTTATTCATACGCATCGGATCTCTTTAGGGATCAGATAGAAGGTGAAGGTAGGCAAATAAACGCGAACTCTAAAAAAGTAGGTGTTGAGTCATAGAGATTGAGAAAATAACTAACTAAAAAGTACCCATGAGTGACGATGATCGTGATAGTGACCAAGTGTCAGTGGACGAATTGACAAAACGGTTTGTGCCGCTGCGTTGCATCGAAGACTTTCAGATGACAGTCGCAGCTGAAAAGGAATGTCTCTGTGCAGTCGTTGTGACCTCGTTTCTATGTCCGTTTAGTGCCAAGTTCCTACCTCCCTTCCAGGAGAAGCTTGTGATGTCTCAGAAGCCACAAGTTCGACGTGTACGTTACTTCCATGTCTCTCTGGTTCCAGAGGAGAAAACCGATATTTCAGAGTTGCTCAAGAATGACCCCGTGTTTATCGCCACCAAGCGAGCTCCCACTGAGTTACAGAAGCAGCAATTACGTAAGCAAGCCTATGACAACTTGTTGGAACTGTTAATCATGCTTGAGGTCCGAAGTACCCCTTGCATGCTTTTCTTTGTGGAAGGTAAAATATTACGAGTGAATGATGAAGTCTCGGATGCACCACGAGTAATCGCTACTGGGAGTTCCTTGCGAAAGTGGGAAATGGTATTGCAGAATGCGGTAGTACGACGTAATGAATTAATGCGTGAGTATGATGCAGCACAACGAAAAGAACGGCGACGTATCGAGAGAGAAAAGCGACGTGAAGCGAGGAGACGTGCGAGAGCAGAAGAAGCAGAAGAAGATGAAGAGGATTATTAATGGCGTCTGTACATGCACACACACACACACAGAGGTGTGTGTATAGTATCTGTGTGTGTGTGTGTGGGAGAGAGAGAAAGAGAAAAGAGAGAGTTCCGATATTAGGAGCGAGTATGTTGTTCTGGTTGTTGTTATTAATGATGATGATGATTTTTATTCGTTTCTCTTATTTTTGTATTGATGTACAGCGTGTATGTTCACTATAGATATATGTTTAATTATACCTACCCAGAATAGATCTTCATCTTGATAAATTGTTCATATTGTTACTCTGATGAACACTTTGTGTTCGTAGAATTGGTAGTAAGTTTTTTTTTTTCTTTTTTTTTTTTTCGTCTTGTGAAATCTACATAAATAACAACAACAACAAAAACCTAAAAAAGAAACAAAGGAAGAAAGAAAAAAAGGGGGATATAGAGAGAGAACGAAGGTGTGAGCTGTTTATGGAATCCCATTACCCTATTGAGGGTGATGCAAGTAGTAAAATGCAAAGTCTGAATATCACATGGGAAGAGGATATGCTGCTTCGAGGTGTTAGACCGGACAGTGAGGTTGTATCGCTGCTGCAGTCTGTCCTCACCTCTCCACGCACGAAATACTTGGAGTCTGTTCCCGCTCCCTCTGCGGACTTACTCTCCCTTATTGACAGTTTGTCCAAGGGACGATCCGCCGTACCGCCTGTTCCCACAACTACAAGTACACCTGTGGAGAGGGCCGGCCCACGTATGGTTAGTCCACTCGGTAATATACACTCAAAACCATCCCCACCGGGTAAACAGAAGGTAATAAAAAAAGAAATAAAAAAAGGAATAAAAGTAGGAATAACGGGTGCCCGCCCACTGCTCCCCGCCAACGCGGGATCCCCGCCGGTGGTAGTCCCCTCACTTCTCCCCATCGGCCATAGTATGGCTCCACATGTTGACAACTGCAGTTGTGTCTTCCACCGCCATCTACTCCCACCATTACACCCACCCACACCAAACACAAACACCAATACAAGCGAAAGCGGGAACTTAGAGAACACTTCACGTGAGAGAAGAAGACGGGGACACCCTCTCACCGTCGTAGCGCGTGTGTGTACTAGCAGCGGCACAACACCCATTAAAGAGACAGAGGTGACCCTTAGCAAACTCGATGGACCCCCACTTCCGCCTAGTTGGCCGACAGTGGACGGGCGAACCTCATCATCTTCATCATCATCAAGGAAATCTAAAAAAGTTTTGACCCTGATAACTATTAGAAAAGGCAGTGGTAGACGACATTCTGGCCAGTTTGGTGATGCAAAAGAAGTTGTTAGACCACCTTCTGTGAGCGGTGGGATTCTTTTACCGAGACTCTCGGAACCACATAACGTGCAGAGGATTTAATAATGTGCAAAGAATTAAATAATGTGTCTGACCATCTTTCTATTTTACTCAATCACTCACCCTCTTCATACGTCTGCATGTGTTTATAAAGGCCTATTTTCTTCACGGAATTAATGTACGCAAACGAAAGGTCAACTAATAGAAAGGAATAAGTGTGCCATAGATAGTGTAGTGTACATGTGGATACTAATGAACAAAATTTGGTATTGGAGAAATGAAGGATTCTACAAATTTGGTGCACCATTGAACAAGCAAAAAAAAAAAAAAAAAAAAAAAAAAAAAAAAAAAATAAGAATAACAGAAACAACGTCAGAAAAGCAAGGTAAACTCATTCTTGAGTGTTCTTTCTTTCCATAGTTTAATTCTTTATTTACTTATTGTTGTAGGTTTTTTTTTTTTTGTTTGTTTAAGCATTTGTAAAAGATTTTGATTTCATTTCCCTTCTTAGTTCGTTTTTTTTTTTTTTTTTCTGATTCGCAATATTTTTCTGTTTTGTGGTATTTTATTCACAGTGCTTCTTCTTCATTTGCCAAGTAGGTTGGCTTTTTTAAAAAGAGTCTGTTGAAAAGCAAAGAAGAAGAAGAAGTAGTGACGTACAAGGAAAATTCTTTCGTCACTTTTTCAGATATATCTCAAGAAACCAATATTCTGTGCATGGAGTGGTTCTGGGATATAACTAAATATATATCTGTATCTCCTCTGATGTTTGTTTGGAGGAAAGTTAAAGTGAAGATGAGGAAAATAATAGAGGTCTAGTTTGAATACATCCATCAGATCAGGTTGTATTTCTTTCATTTTAGTTGACCGTCCTCTTCTCCCCATAGTAGTTAAATAGAGAGTCCTTTTATGCTCTTCCTTGTATAGTTATTGTCTGTTGTCATTCGGTCGTTCTTATTGTTTTTGTGCCTTGTGAAGCTCACACTTGTTTCGGAAAAAAAAAAAA